TAAACACACTAAAAAATCATTTGAATAATTATATTAACAAACTAAGTTAATTCCAAATCTGTAATGTGTAATTAAAAAAAATTAAGTTAATTTACTTATTAAAACTTTCGTGAGACATTATACTATATGATTTATAACACGGATAAAACTAAGTTCATTATAATTGTCAATATGTATTTAGTTAATTTTTCCATTTTAATTGTTGTCCCAAACATCTATGTTACTTTTAGAATGAAGTAAACCTCAACCATTTTGCCACGTTTATCCTCTGGTGTACATATTTATGGTCACTCTAAGATCAATCGGAAGTCACTAAGTGTTGCGCAAACGCACCTAATTATGGAGTCCTTAGTAATGACTTCCTGCGCACTTAACACATCCTTGCGAAAGTTGACATCTGACCGAATACCCAGAGTTGACTAAATGCATTTTTCATGTACGTTTAGAATCCACTTTACACCATAAAATCTCTTAAAACGTATATGAAGTTAGAAAGAAGTGTTATAATAATTCTACATTTTATACCCAAACACACATATACAATACAACACTAGTTCTCTGGTACTCTTACTTGAGAGTATAATATTATAAATGCGAAAGTTTAGGAATCTAATTGATTGCAAGTTGTAGTGGCTTGCATCAATCTTACTTATATTCTTACTTCTTCTTAATCTTACTTATATTAATATATCATACTAATATTATAACTTCGAAAGTTTAGATGGATGGGTGGATGTTTGTTAGAATTTGTAGCCTAAACGGCTAACGGATTTCGAAGAAATTTGGCATAGACATAGAAGATAATCTGTAAGAACACATAGGCTACTCGGTTGTTTTTTTTTAATTCCACACGGACGGAGTCGCGAGCGAAAGCTAGTTAACATTATTTTCTTTGCTTAACTAGTGGTAGAGGTCTAGTAATAACGCAGTGGGTTTGAGTTTTCAGGATCGATTTTAGACTATAGCAGCGTGTTAAATAAAATAAAATTGGAATAAAAAGCAATTACTTTGTAGATTCAAACAGGTCCTGATTTTTTAGCATTGTACCAGTAACTTATCTATGCATAAATTAGTCATATTGAAAATTTCTTCATTTCATGTCGCCGCTATTAAATAGTATGGGTTTTTGTGTGTACAACCAATTATTCCCGGAAACTAACAAATGCGATGCTTTTAACGAAAGTCCACTGTTGACAGATCCGTAAAGCGTGAACGGGGCTAAATATTAGCTCATGTTAAAGTATCCAGCGATAATAGTCAGTAACATTTAAAAAATAAAGGTTGTTTTTGCTTAATGTTTACAAATCATGGTGTTACTTGTCACGAATTAGACCACATAATATAATAAGGTGGAATTTTACGGAAGACTTGTTTGTTTTACGCGAGTTGGCTTGCACAAAACACTTTTGCTGTGAATTTTAACAAGACGGAAGATTATTTTCACAGGTCCTTGGATTTCAAAGCGATACCATGATTTTTTTTAAAATTCCATGTTTAAGTAAGCCGATGGATTTGATATGAATTGTTTGGTCACATTGTTAGTGATGTGTTATAGTTTTTTGTTTGAACACTGATCTGGAATGCATTTATAAAATTAAGAATACACTTTTATTTGTAATACTACCTGTTCCCGTGCTGCATGAAATTATGATTTTTTTTTATTGTTTACATTTGTCAAATCATCAAAAGCAAATGTTAAAATGACATGACATGACAAACCTTGGTAATCATGTTTTCTTGATGTTGGCAGCAACTTATGGTCTTTTTCCCACATTAAGGTTTTTATCGAAAGTATTTACTACCTAAGTTCAATGGCGTGAAAATATATAACCTAAAGCGTGACGTAAGAGTAGGGCTTTTTATAAAAAAAATAATTATTCAAATATATGCTGTAATTGCTGACATCTTAGGCAACAAAGAAGTGTGTGATTACGCTTTATTATAATAGTTTAGATATAGATTACTTAATCAAAGAAGTAATGGCGTAAAAAATATTAATTTCGAAGGAGCACAACTTTATAACAGATTACCATCCTCCATTAAAAATGCGGATTCACTTAATATGTTTAAATTAATGTTAACAAAACATATATTAGAAAATTGTACAAAATTTATATTAAAAGAACATAGGCGACAATCAACATATTGTAAATTTAAATTCTCATGTAAGTGACTGTACATGTCTTTTTGGGAATAAAAGTCTTTAAACATTAAACATTAAAGAAATGATGCGTACTTAGTTGTTTCTATTTATAATGACATAAAAATGTATATAATGTAAAAGTTATTTATTATTTGCCGCCATTGAATTTATCTTATGCAGTATCCACAATATAGAATGTCAATTCCTACGTGTCATAAAATGGTCTGGATACGTGACATTTGACAAAAGTTCTCTGGATGTCCATTTAACTGGTATAATGCAATGCGCGGGCGAACGTTTAAGAATGATAAATCGCATGATATTTCTAAGGACGATTCGTTCCGATCCCGCGATATACGACAGGACAAAAGAACATAACCAAGTCGCTATAGCCGGCTAGTTCCATTCGCTCTATCGTACGATGCGGTAATAGGGCACCGTGAAATCGGTACCGGTGTGACGAATCGCAGAAAAATTTCGGTTTTTCGGTTATTTCTTAGGGATTTGTACGGGCTTTCTTCGACGATTTGATACGCTGAACGGGTGTCAGTATTACAAACACATGTCTTTTGATTTCAGCGTTGTTCAGCATTGAGCGGTTCGCGACGGCTTTTCGTTTTCGCGAGCGATTTCACGCTATGCGACGCGTTACATTGATGTTGACTTACCTTCCGTCACAGCTGCTCGTTATTGATTTTATTGCCATCATTTCTTGTTATTCTAAACTAGCTTTTGGTGTTTTTGTCATCCCATACATATGTCTCGGCGTCCAAGAATACCATTAGTTATATATCAAATAAGCCGCTTGTGAACCACAATTATCTAAATGTACATTTCCCCTTATATACTTAATTTTATTGATAAGCAGATTTTTTACAACTTTAGTAGTTGTGAAGTAATCCCGTTTTAAAGTCTTTTTTTTGTGTGTTTTAACCAATTTATATTTATGTCTCTTGTTATTAAAAACTGTAGTGAAAATGTTGGTTAGATTTATGTACGATTAAATTCTCATTTACATTACTGGGGATAATAAGTTATCATTAAGTCAACACTCACTCACGATGTTAATTTTAAACTTATGGTTTATAAGTTTCATTTTATTTTAAACAAGTTTTAGTAATGAATTTTATATATCAATTATACAAATGGAGTTGAAACATGGCAAATTGATTTATAAGATGATCATTAATTTGGATTACATTTTATTACAAAACTGTGACTTATTGATTAACAGTTTTGTAATGTAGTTGGAAAATTAATGTGTTTATTATGTGGAAACTCTAATACGGAACTGGTTTTTTTACTAATATAATTATAAGAATAATGTCATCGAAAGGTAATATAGACTTCCCTTACCATTAAAATGTTTTACTGTGTCTCCAAGAAATTAGAATTCTATTATTTTATTTACTTTCCAAGAAATTTAGAATGTTGCAAGATAATGTACAGATTTATGTCTTAATTTACTTCAAATTTTCAATTAATGCTTTTACAATAATGCGTCGATTGACCACGATCGCCAACGATCGCTACGAGTACTAAGCAAAACAAATGAAACGAAATGAAAGACTATCAAATTTAATTTTCATCATCAGGGTGGGTAACACGGTCTGTACTAGTTTTAATCCACACTCTATCAGCCATAATGTCTGAATTAAGAAGGATTTCCTAGTCCTAAATGTGACACGGATAAATCTTACTTCGTACTAATATTATGATCGCAAAAGTTTAGATGGAATGTTTGTTAGTAGGTATCTCAAGAACGGCTCAACCGATATAGGTAGCATTTGGCACAGACGTAGTACATCGTCTGAAAAACAGGCTACTAATTAAGTTTTTTACTCGCAGAGGGAGTCGCGGGCGACAATCAGATTTGTATAATTTTTGAATATTGTTAAGGTTAAGGGTACGGATTGAGTACAAGGTCGTGGGATCTAATCCGTAATTCATAAACGTTTGTAGAGTCGAGAAATATTAGGGAATTGTGTAAATAACTGTTACTTGTTTTTGTTTATTACGCATACGTATATAAATGTTACAGCACTCTTTTTTTTCCTTATATGCTACAGTAGAAGTATAGAGTAGTAATACAGTTTCGTGAAGTTTGGTAAAAAAGTTTATTTTCTATGTGTCTAATAACTTGTTTGTTTAGGTATACTTAACACGTTAACTGCGTAACAGGCCGATATCAACCTGAAGCGGTACTTAAGCTGGTGCGGACGAAGAAAACTTTGTTCCTCTCGATAGTGCGAAACGATTATTTCGGGTGTACACATTACATAAAATGTGCACATTATGTTTCCACAATTATTATAGCAATTTAATCTATCCTAGTGCTGGTGGGTCTAGAAAGACCTGTCACGCACTGGCGAAAATATCATTGGGGGCGCATTTTGGCCAACCGCCGCGTCAGTTTATGACTAAAGTAAACTAGCCGAAGTAAACGTGTTAATAAACAATGTTGAAGTAATCAAATTATTTCTGTAACTGCCGATAAAGTTGTTTAAATTATTAATAATTATTTATTACAGTAATAGTGCTCATGTATACATAATGTTTTACCATGAGTTAAAACTTATGCCTTATAATGTTAAAAGTAAAAACTGAAACAAAAATGTCGAATTCTAACAAAGCATTTTTATCCGACTTCACATAGGAGTAGGTTCTAAATTAGATCGGTATTTTTTTATTTATAAGGATAAAGGTTTTTGGTACAGAAACAATACGTTTATGTAGATATAAAATTGGTAGTAAGTATGAGTAAAAAATGGAACTACTGCCCAATACAATTCATAGGGCCTCTTTACTCTATTAGTTATGATGACGAAAATGTTACCATAGGAATAAAACGAATGAATTATTTAAAATTACAACTTTATTGAGATGCAGAGATCAATTGAAAGTCTTCAAAATTCTTAACATTATCAGTCTACAATAGTGGCTTATTATAAACTTATGCTAAAACAAAATTATACTAATCTAAGAATTGACACAATGGAAGAATACGTAAAACTTATTAACCTAATCGATATTAAATCTAAAACTATATACTAAGAGAAATCGCATGCAATAGAGAAATACCAATTAATCCTAAAAATAAGATTGGCACGCTCGGCCTACTTTTACTTAACATAATTTTCAGTGAATTAAAAAAAAAAACAAAGAGACATTGTTTGTCTAAACCTTAAAAACTATTAAAGCTTTTGTTGAAGATATGTTTACTAATTCCTAGGTTAATTATGTCACTGTGGATGTTCTTGAAAAGACTAAAAACCTACAATCAAAGAAAATTCTACCTTATGCTAAAATAAAATACATTTTCAATTCTAAGTTTCTAGTAACAAGATCATCCACAGCAAGCACTTACAATGTAATATAATTTGCATATAAACAATTTAATTGTTAATATAATTCTCTTATAATTAATTAAAGCTTTTACGTGTGTTTTTAAAATCACAGATAATTTCTTACAAACTAATGGAAGACGTTGATTTACGATAAATATGAATTATGCAGAATTGAAATGCAAGAGCTAAACGGTTATTAGTGCGTTGATATACAGTGCAGTTGGGCTTTAAAGCTGTCTACCAAAATGCTGTCAATTTACACTGTTAGTTACATTAAATCGAACAATTAATTTAAACAAATCGATGATGTCAAACTTCCGAGTTGCTAATACAACTAAGGATCACAGATAATTAATAATCACAATATAACAAACTGGAAGCGACATAGCACCGACCTAACTATAACCCATCAATTTATAACTGGCCAGTTCTGACAAATATGACGACAGCAATATTTAGAAAGTAAAAAGTTAACATGAAAATGATCTAAATTCGATTAAACTTTGTTTTTATTTGTAATGACAGCTGTCAAAACTGACCAGTTATTGTGACAGTTCTAAGTCTAATGGAAGACACGATTGATATTACTCTACGAAACGAGCACGCACTTATTCTAGACATTGGAAGACAAGATTTTGTTTTTCACTGAATTAATAGTACCAAAAAATTAAAGCTTCGAATGGGAAGAAAGGATTCGGAATAGCGGTTGGAATTAAGACTAAGGGATAAATATAGACTAATAGCATAATTTACATACGAAACAGTTGCTCTTGGTGGCCGAGTAGCAGATTTCGCGCACTTCGTTAGCCATGTTGTCGTTGATTTCCAATCCTTCGGAGATCAGCTCAAATCGATTGTTGTTTACGATATTCTGGTTCTCCGCGTTATCGCTATCTTCGACAGGCACCGGTTTCACCGGGTCGACAGGGTAGAAGTATTCAGAGAACGGTACCAGGAGAGGTTCCTGGGGATATGCAGTCTTTTGCGATGGCAGGTCGGCGCGCGGCGATGCGTTGGATATCAGCTCACCAAGCTTCGTCCAGCACTTATTAAGATTAACTCGCGTCGATGTTGTCACCTTTCTTGGTAATTTCGGCTTTGAGCTCTGAAAACAACAATGAAAGCATACGTTAATTTATAAACTTATGAAAAAAGTGAAGGAAAAAGATTTGTTTTCATTTATCAACTTTGAATTGTTTCAATAAACATGTAATACTGTGAGTAAATTAATAGTTATAGTATTCAATTTACCTGACGGTTCAAGAGCTTCTTCCAAGGAGAACGAGGCGATACAGCCTCCTTTTGCGGCGAAGGTGATCCATCCTTAGCGAGACACATATTTATAACTAACTTTACAAGTAATAGTAAACTTAGTGTAACGAATTACGACTACGTATTTACAGGAAAGTAAAGGAGAGCGACATGCACACACGGAGCGGCAGTTAGGAATGATCGAATCAGGAAGGGCGTCGAGCTTTTATACCGGGCCGGGATGGCGCGTGCGGAGCGCGGCGTGCGCGGGCGCGGGGCGGCGCGCGCGCAGCACGCGAGTTGGCGCGCGCTCGTCGACTGGTTTTTACCGAGAACTCCTACGAATAGGAGCTTTGACGTGCCGCGACTTAGAATAGTCAACTGGATTGTTTATAAAAGCTTCATTGGTGACCACTAGCTGGAACGATAATACTCGTCCCACAATTATGCTTTAACAATACAACTCTTTTGAATATCGAATTACTCTTCAAGTATGCACAACTAAATAGTTCATAGAAATATTGTTATGCAGCGATTTTATGATTGTAACGCTGCGCACAATAGAGACGTGGCTCGCATAATTGTTTCGACTTTCCGTACGCCGTCGGCGTTTGGTTTGCAAATTCTAAGCGGAATGAGCATCGCAACACTATGAATCATGGGCGGCAGCTGGCGGTTGGATAGATAAGTTCCGTTGCAGATTTATCATAGTACGCCTGTGTCGCTTCCTGCGATTAAATCGTCTTTATACAGCGGCCAGGGCGGCGCGGTGCGGCGCAGCTCGGCGCTCGCAAATCACGTACGGCGCGCTGATAAATCATTTCCTTCGATCACTGCAAGGATGCACGGACAATTATTTTAATATCCTCAAGGTACATTAACTTTATACAATGTTTCATAATCCTATATGGTCATTGAATTCGTTTAAACAGAATTCAAAATAAATCGATTACTTTCGTTGCGTTCCTTTAGATCATCATAGACATCCGATTTGATCGATCTCAAATACACAATAAAATTAAATATTCATACAATGTATGAATAGAGTTCATGAAATGTTTATAGGTGCCTTATTATCAATCTATATGGCGTCAAGAGGGAGCTCTATCCAGTAATGTTGTCAACAGAAACCATGATTAAATGTTTGAATATTGTATTAGACAAAGTTGTTACTTATACCAAAACCTTTACCCTCATACGGGATTAAAGATCTGTGTTTATTTGAATGTAACTACTAAACGAATACGATGTTCATTTATTAACTACACGCGTCTATCATCTATCTGAAATTCGAATTCTAATTATGATAAAACCGTAGCAAAGTGCTACGAAGTTGTAAAAAAATCGTAGAGGTATAAACTTCCTGTCCATAAAGTTATAAATCCATTGAGTTACATTTAGATTTACTATAATTAATATATTAGGCTATAAATTTATTACAATCATTAATAAAATACGTAATCCAGTAGCTCGTTAGCTTATTAACATAATTTAGTCTGATACACGTGTCCGTGGAATTTAAATACGTAAGGGAGTATTTGTACGAACCCAAAAAATGTTTTAAGAACATAAAAAAATATTTTAAGAATATAAAAATTGTTTTAAATATATTTAATCATTGTTAATATCAAGGTAATTGATCATAAAATTCTATTGAAATTGCTTAATTGCCTTTTAAATTACGAAGTTTCGTGGCAAAAAGTATTTATATATGTAATGCTGTCTAAAAGATTATTTTAATTTATTCTTATAAGAATCTTTAAAAAAGAGGAATGGTCATACACACCTATAGGTATAAATTATGTTACGATATTTACAGACAAATATGTAGAATTTAGGAGGTTAAATCAAAACTCTATTTTTTAAATCAGGTTGTCAAAATCCTTATAATTTTATAAGATATGATTCTTTATTTCTTTATATCATATTAGAAACCATACAAAAATACTATGAAAAACAATATATTACTTGAAGTATTTTAAAATAATAAATTAACCATGACCATTAGTAGCAAAACATGTTTCCAATAAGAATAATAGATGATATGTTGCGTCGGCATCGACACTGAACTCGTTTAAGATAAAATTACCACAGATTCTTAACCAAATAACTCTGTTAAATGTTTAAATTATTAACCTCCGTATTACGAAATTATTGTTATATAAATTTGTTGATCATTTTACATACATCTTCGTAATTTTAAGAAAAATAAAACATCAAGAAAGTCGAAGTATAACTATTAGTATTTTTTTTAATACTTTATACAGTTTTGTAAAATTAGGCAAAACAAATTTTGTACTATGTTTTATTTGAATACTAGCTTTCGCCCGCAACACCGTCTGCGTGAAATTATAAATAAAAAAAAAACTACATCGAGCCTATGTGGTCTTCTAGACTATCCTCTACATCTATAGCAAATTTCATCGAAATCCGTTTAGGCCACAAACTCTAACAAACATCCATCCATCTAAAATTTCACATTTATAATAATAGTATGATTTAATTTTGTTCTTATGATCTGTTTGTCTCATTATTGGCGTTATTCTACAAAGTATTATTTCAAATAAACTATACCATATACTAATTTAATGTTAGTTTATACGTTACTTATGTAGTACATACTTGAAATTTGTTTTACGTAACATGTTATTTAATATCCAAAAATTTCATAACACTTCATTGAAGCGAAAATTAATCAACGCTGGCTAAGAAAGTCGTCGTAACCGATCTCCAGTGCACTCAACAATTTTAACCATAACATAATACCTTCGGTAAATGAAAAAAAAAAGAGTAGCTACACCACAACCCTACCACGTGCAGCCTTTTGTAAAGGGGAGAATAAAATCTTAACTTTTTTTGCTCCTCGTCCCCACACGGGTAAAGTTACAAATGGAACTTTGTATAGAACTTAACGTATCAAAAACTTTCAACACTAACGGTCACTTGCTTTGTTAACGTCCAGAGTTTTATCAAATTGTAATACCTATTTTATACTGTCCTTATAATTCTGTTTTTTTTTTTAATTACGTTGATAGATAATATATTTTTTGTTTTTCAAATATTAATTTAGCTTAGGCTAGTTTAAAATTCCACTTCTACAAATCTATGATTTTAATTTTTGTTTTTTTTTTAATTTATTATTCCAACAAGAGGGATATTTAAAATCAGAAAATACGTTAAAATCAAACAAAATTGGGTACATAATTAATTTTATTTTAATCAGTCTGTCAGTTCAATTAGATTGAATATAAAGGCATGTTCACACGACAGTAGTGTTCGTGTGTGTGAAGCGTGCATAACACACGTCAGGACTCCCCGCATTGTTGACTTCGATTTAGGGGATTTTGTGACGTCAATTATGTATGAATATGTCGGACCTTATTGTGTTTGAATACAACGCGTGTATCACTAACCCCTATTGTTCTATGGTAAATTAGATTCCGAACGCCGGTGGGGAAATTTTCATTGTTGGTTCCGATTTAAATTCTTATAGTGTTTTATGTAGAGATTAACTTTCACGATAAGTTTTTTTTATTCTTTCATTATAAAATAGTCAACAAAATCAAATACCTTGACGTATCTATATTTTAACTGTATAATAAAAAAATGTTAAGTTAGTCAGTGTTAAGATTCAGTTACAAAATTATTGACATGACATATCTAGTAAATCTAGTAATACTATTCAAATTAGTAACTCCAAACACTACGCTTCAATTTAATTTTCCCTATTAACATTATTTTGTATTGCTAACCCCTCCTTTTTTTCAAATCACGGAATAGTGCTAGGGTTGTCAGTAAAACAATGGTGCGTGCAAACATGCGTAACTTGCACAATGCATTCCGATGCATCGGCCCCGTGTCATGCGGGCCCTCGCCCAATGCCCCTATTGACACACCATGCATAGTGAGTGTTAAAGAATTAATGTTTTGAACTTTGATTTGTCTACTAGAAATATCTGATCACGGTTTCTATCTCATAACCATTATCCATTTTTATCATTTCGTTTTTTATTTGTGTTTTGATTCTTGTCTTGTCTTTCAAATATTATAATTATTATGAATTCGTCTAGAAAACATCCTACGCTTTTGATAACTCTAAATAAATCTTTAATGAAATCAAAATACTTCATTAAAATAAAATATTTAGGGCGTGATTTTACTAGGGTCGCATAGGGCATACTCATTCGTGGGGAAGAGCGCGCGTCGCTCATTTAGATAAGTGCATTGTGTGGAGTGGACGTGTGCCGCTAGTTTGTATGCTGCACACCAAACAGTCTTGATTGATTGTCTATTATGCGCTTAGGCGAAACATTAGTAGATACGGATGTTTCTTTTTCATGAGTAGCAATAAATATGAGAAGTGTTATACAATTTTTTTTGTGTATCTAATGTAATAACGTAACCTTAAATTGAACCTTAAAAAGTCGGAAAACCAAAGCTTCGAAAAATTTAATTACTCTTGAACACTGCGATATTAATTTAGACAGGCATGACTCATTCTAACACTTACCATATGCTAAGGCATGTCAGAG